ATAAACAACGTCAGGCACAAAAACACGGCGGGCGTAAGGATTGTGTGTGCATAACGAGCGCAAGACTTCAGCCACTCGCCTTCGCCGTCAGCACGAAATTGGAGTTTGGCAAAATAAAGTGTTTTCGCATGTGTGCGCTTTTTTTTGGCAGCAGTATTCAAATAGGCATGTATATCCGGTTGAAAATGTACACGTTTTATGCGGAGTAATTTGCATGCATAGAGAAACTTTTTTTGCTCCTTTGCAAAATGATGTTGTTTGTATTCATCGTGTGTGCAAGCATTTACATTATTATTATGAACAAATTAATTTTCGGTTAAAATGAAGCAATGTTCGGAGCATATTTTACCATCACCATTTTTTTCGTTGGCTGGTTCAACATCAACACACCTTTTTCAACCCAATATGAAAGTCTGGTTAGTATTTTGGTTTCTGTCGACGCATTCATGCAACAACATAACTCTGGAGTTGACAAAAGAACAATGAATTTTGTCTAATGAAATTAAACTGGCAGAAGGAATGTTTTTAAAATAAGTGGAAGCGATTAAAATGTGTTGGAAAAAGTCAAGAGCTCCTTCGTTTCAATAGCAAAGTGCGATACTATGCAAACATATCATGAAAAACAGTGGCAAATGAATGACAGTGACGGGGGTCACCATATTAACTAATATTTACACATCATATTATATACCACAAAGATGTATGAATCCATAAAAACTCGTTACAACGAAGACGGAAAAAATCATTGTAATACATCTGACATCATGCGTTCGCACATTATGTGACAAATGATGAGTGAATTGAACATTTTATCCATCGTCTTCGTCTAAATAGTACAAATATTTTGAACTGTTTTTGTTGCTCTCTCTATCTCACTCTTTTTTGGCTGCTGCAGCAGAAGGCTCGTTTGCATTTGTCGAAGCCAATCCGATTATAAATGACAAAAAGGAAACAACACAAACTGAAAAACGGGTGACAAATTAATCGTAATGTAAACTCTGGGATAAAACGAGCGGAAAGCTCGTTTTACCTGCAAAAATACCCGACCAGACCTACGAGAATCGAATATCCGTGACTAATTATTACCGCTTTATAATTTGGCGAGGGATTTGTCACGTACATATTCGATGCGCATCGCTTTTAACCAAATTAATCAGAATTTACTTTACACAGAGAGGAGTGAATGTGAGCGTAAGCAAGCCAAACAGACTGCGAAAAAGTGTGTCGATCATTGAATTTAAAATATGTTGCTCTCTAACTGAATTCAAGAATAGAAGTAAAGTGGCGCGTACAGCAATCAGCAAGTGGGCTTATGTTGGTGGATGTTAAGCATCTTCAAATAAACCCCAGATCCGAATGAGAGTGATAATAATAAATAAAATCGATTGCGGAAAGTTATTAATTTGTTCTTGGCATAAACAACTGCCTGAAGCCATATTGCTTTTTATTTCCAATGTATTTTTTAATTAGATCCATTCCTGCGTAGATAAAAGCTTCTACTCTTATTATTTTATGGGATTTACCGTTGGACCTTTTTCTTTGTTTCATTAGAAATAAAGTGGAAATGCTGCATACAATAACAAATATCAATACATCCACCCAACCATAATGATGTTCGAGGTAAAAAGCGGTTGGCGTAACTTATAGCGAGAAACCTCATTTTCATCCAAAATTGTCCCATCCCCCGGCACAACTAAACTCAATCGATATAATGCGTGTGATTGATAGCGACATGTTATTTTGATGTGCATCATTTAAATTGAATTAGAGGTTTTTTTTTGATGACTTAACTGTCGAACTGTCAATCCCACTTCGTTTGACACCTATTTAATAATCCTTGATGATGATGCTATTGTTAAACATGAGATATTTTTGTAATCGGATTCATTTTTTGTCCTAATTCCATTCGATTTGAATTTGGCTTGACTAATACATTTTGAATTGTATTAATATAGATTGTGCATACCGCTCGCTATTAAGAACCGCGCTCACTTTAAATAATTTATCACATATTCTGCATGCGTAAAACATGATGTAAAACTCCATTACCAAATTACCAATTGATATGCCAATGTGGCGTTTTTAATCTAAAAACAATGTTATGTGTCATTCGCACGAATAACAAAACCAATCACATGAAAAATTCACCAATATAGTCTCGACTCCATTTGGATTTTGGTAATTGATTTTCAGTTTTTCAAACTTCAAATAAAAGCAAACGATTCGAAATGAAAACAACAACGTAAAAAGTTGCCATCGTCCGATTTATTAGAAACAAAAGCAAAAAAAAAACATAACCATTGGCCATTGAGGTTTATGCAAAATGAATCATCTGAAGAATGGAGAATTCTGGGACCAACTGCACCGGAAATTGACGCCGGTTTGACCGGCATAGATGCATTTGAAATAAAAGGATTGGGCACAAAATCTATACCCAGCATCACAATCACCATGAAAACCATTTACGAAGCTACCAACATCGACCAGAAAGTTTATAATATTCATTCAGACTAAGCCAGGAAGAGAGAGAATAATTCCATAAAATTTATGACTAGTAAATGAATTACTAGTTTATTGCAGGGACATATAGCCGCGCCGTTCGTTGCCGGGTGAAAGCGGTGCGGTAAAAACCGTCTCCAGCACAAAAACTTGCGGCCAATTCAGTGGTGCATAGCATTAGCCGTATATACGTTGACTGCATGTTTTTTTGCATTTAGGCAATAGAGAAAAAAAAAAATAGAAATTACACTCATAAAAAGCGCATACGTCGATTTGAATCGGCCTCCAAATCCAAGAATGTATACCATTTTGTTCTCAGAATGAGCGCATACGCTCGTGAAAAAAGCAATATAAACAACAAAATGAAAGGATTGCAGGCAAAAGATATAGTAGAAATATTGCATTTTGCACCTGGTATTTGCTATAAATTCCATTGCATCGTCGATATATTCATTCGCATTTCCTTTTCGGCTTCGCCACAAGCACATATAGCATTTTTTTACGGTGCAGCACCGATATCAAATCAATACACTTGTTTTAAATCATTTATGGTTTTCTTTTTGCACGAGAAATAAAGAACACTTTTTTAACTCACATAGAATTCTGTACAATTTTCTATTGACTTTCAAATAATTGCTTTTTCATATTCAAAATCTCGTAAACATTGAACAACGCAATGTGCTGAATAAGCAAAAAGTCTTTTGAAACAACTCAGCAAATCCAAAGCATTTTATAAAAATAGTGGTTTCTAAGAGTTTGAAATAATTCCAATGAAGAAGAAGCGGGAAAAAACTCCATGGTCACAGATAAACAGAAAACGTTTTATATCACTTCCGAGTTTCATTTAGCATTCGAGTTGATTTTCTCACGCAGCTTGTTACCACAATTCCGATGGATGAAAGTGCAATTCAAGACTCGTATCTTATATGTATCATTGCAATGCTATTAAAGAAACGATCAACCATTTTGCCAACGCAATTGAAAAGAAAACTAACTCCATTTTTTACGCATTTTACAACTTTTTTTATTCAGATATTATTTAGAGCGGATATTGTATTTTGCACAAAAATGAAGTAATTTCCCTTCGAACATCGTTTAAAAAGTGATCAATTTTATTTTCGGTTTCTAGTCTTATGAAAAAGTGAATAATCACACGAAATCGAAGTTTGGGCATATAGTGAGAACAGATTTTTCCGATATGTTTAAACTTCCGGCTTATCCTTCCGATGGAAAAGATTCGATTGAAAAACAAGATTTTGTTTATTATGCCAATTCGATTTGTCATAAATTCTGCCACCACTGAAACTATGTCCGATTCGGTTGTGGATCTTATCATTTTGATATGATTTCGTTTTGACATAAATATACTTGATATAACTTTTACGGCAAATAACAAAGAAGAGTGGCTTTTGTATCTTAGGGTGAAATAAAAAAGTGAAAATATTTGAAAAACGAAATTTTGGTTGGGTTTGATCTTGATTGGTATGAATTGATATTGAAGACGCAGAAAAGTCTTTTGATAATACAAAAACGAATTCATATATTGACACAATTTCAAAATTTTAAAATAACTTAATTTGGTGAATTTTTGCTCCGAATATTACACTGCAATGGCTAACTTCAATAATTTGCCGAAGAAATATGTACACCCTATTTGGTTTTGATAAAGAAATCTTACAAATGAAAAACTTTTTTGCCTATCAATGAAACAAGCTATAAAAAAGAGCGTAAAAACGCTTATGCTCATTTCAAGTTTTGGGCAATCATTTTCAAAGATGTTCAAAATATTTAATGGATGCTTTTAAACTATTGCACAACATTTACCGCTTTGTTCAGATTTGTAAACCAAATTACGGGCCCAGCAGAAGTAAAAGGGTTTCTTATACTCAAATGCAATGCTTGGATTTATTTTCATAATGAGATGGTCTCACGTACGAGTTTCAAATGATCTAGAAAATAATGTGGCACACATTCTGTTTTCTATAAAAACGGAGCATTATGTATGGCTGGTGATCATTGAATATAGCTTGGTGTGACACATGTATCTGTCTGTATGTTTATCATACAACATTTTATGATATCATTTTATAAAATTCTTAATAAATTCCTTGATTTTTTCTTCTTGCTGTCTTTAGAGAGATAGTCGTAAAAGTATAATGACATGTGCGTGATTCAATTATGCAAAGTAGAAAAAACCGCTTGTGTTTTACACTATACGTTCTTACTATGTGTTTTTTCTGCATTCATGTGATCGGCTATGCTTGAATATAGGTTTTCTTTATAAATGTTTGCACAATTTAAAATTTTTCTTGAAGACTGTGTTTTTCATGGGGAATGTTCGTCCATGTAAAAAGAACATTTGAAATGTTTGACAAAACCTGTTACGCATTTCGATACATTTGTCCAGGCTATTTACCCTGGACCAAAACCAGATGGTTGTGAGCCTCACTCGATTCTTCATTGACCGTATTGAATGCATAAGTCATTCTATCTGTCGTCTGTCAGCGTGACACTTGTAAGAACAGTGATACAAACAAAGTAGTATTTTGTATAATTTTTGCTCCGTATATTTTTGCATAAAATGGGTTCTCCTGATTCACCAAGCGGCGAAAATAATATTTCTCGACCGGTAGCAAACCAATTACCAATGCACGGTGGAAATACAACAGCCAGCGATGACAGTGACATGGAAATTATTGACGCTGGATATGTTGGATATCAGCCACTTTCTTTGGACGAAGAGACAATGGAATACAGAAGTGAAGACAATAACGTCAACGACCAAGAGAACGACGACGACGAAGATGATCATTTTGATTATTCGGTTTGTTTTACATTACAAAAAATTATATAATTTGTTATAAAGTTCGTTTTTATTATAGGCATTCAATGCACCAACGCAAGCCCCTGAAACGAACATTGTTGTTCCATCAATAAATGCTGAAATTGAACGTGAAGTGTGGAATGCACCAAGACCAGAATCAACAAATATCGTTTTAGATTCGACAAGAACCGAACAGGTAATAAAATTCAGTATACACTTGGTGACACATTCTTAAATATGATTTTTGGTGATTTTCTCTCAGATAATGTCAGCAATGGCCAATTTTCAAATTCCAACATCAAACATTCCGACCTGGGCACAAGGTGATTTAGACGAAAAATGGAAAGACGATTTATTGCAGAAAATTCGGGAACGACAAAATCGAAATAACTAGGATAATTGATCTGTTTAAGTATGCTGAAATATTCATATAAGATTCAAAATATGCTTGGATATATTGGAATGTAATTCATTTTTAAAACACAATTTTAAATTGTGTTCAAAAATTCTATTATTAAATGCTCCCAATGAACGATTTTGCATTTTTTTTATTCTTCAAAGTACTCAAATATCAAATCTGTTTGTTCTACACTAAGAAAGAAAGTATTACGAAGTCAGTGACTTTTATAGGTGATTGAGGGAAGAGCAAAAATAGTAAGTACGTCTAGGCAATTGAAACAAATCATTTTGTCTCATAAAGCAAGACTATTTGCAGAAACTCATACACTCAGCAATGTTGCTAGTAAAAACTGTAGAAATTTATCGTCGAGAAAGATATAAAAATGTGCACCAAATTAATAATCAAAAAAGCGTAAATTTATTCAAGACTTTGAAAATAATTTACATTCTAATTGTATATAGCTATAAAGTATTAAATATTATTGCCAATGGCCCTCAATAAATAAGATGAAATATGAACAGAATAATATGAATGCTCTCAAACGAATGTAAGACTTCACTTGAGATTTTATTGAAATGTAGCACCACCACCATATAAAAATTGAGATTTTTTGTATGGCTGTGTTACACCTTAACGAAGTCTCGGGAGAAGTCTCACATACATTCTCGCACAATCATATTTGTTATAACCGATTATTATTTCTTTACAATTTGATCATTTGAACTAGATTTGATTTGAGTTAAGAATTATGTCTATGTAAAAATAATACAATTGAGAATACAATTTGAGAATAATTTTGAGGGTTTGGGCAAATATATATGTGGTGTGTTTTTAGAGATTACATGTTGTTGATCGATTGTTCGAGTAGAAACCTTTTTTTTTGTTTAACTATTTATTCCGAATCAATGTTTAAGGGCTCTAGAGAGCTTGAGTTAGATTTGGCGTGCGATGAAGATGAACTTTTGCTTGCTGATGCCAAAGCCGAAGCTATCTGTGCTTCGATTGTTTGTTTCGGCAAATCGGCCGGACATTCGAAATGCACACAATGAAAAATCTACAAAAAATTACGATAAAAGTTAAATCATTGTACTTTTTACATTTTTCCACGTCAAATACAAACCTCATTTGCTGTGTTGTAAGTGCCAACGATTTTAATGAATACAACCGGTCGAGGTTCAAATATGAATTGTTGCCAAGATCGAAGCTGCTCGTCTTTTTTATCGACAGCCATTTCCCAATCCTTTTGGTTCACAGATGTCTCAATGAAAAAACTGTACGTTCTCGAATCACAGTCCCACAACAACAATCGCATCGAACCAATGTAATACGGCTGACCAAGTTGAACGACTATGACACCGCTCCCTATACAACAAAAAGAAAACGATTTCCATAAAATATGTACAACCGATATGACATTTGAATCAACTCATACCTAATTGATGGCACGTATATCCAGAGTCCCAGTCATAATTTTTGACATCACCATTGAGAAGTGCATTCCGTGTACGACTAACTCCTTCGATAACCATTGATGACATTTCAACGGTTGCAACGTTGTACGTAGGCAACACAAGACCATTGACTAGAGTCGGCATTCGCATTGTATAGTACGCCTCGAGTGCAACCACATGAAACACTTTGTTGCATGTATTGTGTGTGCCAACCAGCTTTATGAAACGAACCGCTCGTGATGGAAAGTATAAAAATTGCCATGAACGACACATGTATTTTGTGTGATCTACAACGCGATGCCAATTGTTTTGATCAACTGACGTTTCAATGTAGTACGAGTAACTGCGCGTATCACGATCCCACAGCAACATTTTCATGTGATTTATGATGCTGATTGTACCCAATTCAACTATAATGCTTAGATCATTGGCATCGTTGATGGAGTGACGCGTATAACCTGAATTTTGATGGTGAAACACAATTTTAAATTATTGTTTTTTTTATGTCGTTTCATACACTGCAATAATTACCTTTTTCCATGTCGTAATTTGTAACATCACCGTCAAGTAGTGCTGATCGCAATTCACCTCTAATTGTTTTCGAGTTGAATTTGGCTGAAGCAACATTCTCTTCGGGCCCTGAAAAATTCAAATTTTTTTTTACCAAATAAGACATTTTCAAATAGATTTTGGTTACTTACAAAGGGCGCCACGATAAACGAGATTCTTTGAAGTGGTTTGCTCTTCAATTGCATCCAAAAGACGGTCTGGATCCAAAATTGCACATGGTCGAACGACTCTTAGCAATTGCTTGAGATTCATCAATGGCAAACGAACGAATGATACAACCGTCTGAAATAAAACGTCAAAAATAGCAATAAAATGATAATTTTGCGATTTCTAACATAAAAATATGCCTTAAATATACCTCAATATCTGCGTTTGGATTATTTTTACACCAATCATAAACAGCATTAAAAATGTTAACTTCGGGCGCGAAAAATGAATCTCTTTGCAGTAATGTGCAGAGTGAGTCTTGTGACAATGTCTTAAATGTGCTGGCATTCAGTAAATCAGTCGAATTTCGATCCATAAATGTGAGTGTGAAATCGCTGAGTGTGTCTAAATTGTACAACCGTGCTGCATCGAGAATGGCGCAGCAATTTTTCAATGATAAACTGTTGGTTAAGTACGTTGAAATGGCTAATTCTAATGTTTCAAAGCCATATTGGTTGGCCAAACCGAGTGAATCCAAAATGTTTTCCTCCTTCATTTTGGCCAATGACATGCAGCCCGTATAAATATACTCTAGTAAGGCTTTGAATGCTTCGAGTGGAACTTTTAACTCAATTTCATTTTGATTTGTTTCGCACAAACCACCATACAGCAATGCACGAAAATATGAACTGCGCGCTGCGAGTAGTATTTTGTGAGCTGGTAATTTAACACCTTCGACGATAAACGCCACGTCTGAATATTCACTGCTCATACACAATTGGCTCATGTGCTGTGAAAATTCAGCTGTAGTGCATTTTATTTATAGACATACAAAAGAAATGCAAAGTAAAAATCAGACACAATTAGAATAAAATAAATCGAAGTCGAAGGTTAAATAAATTCAATTTTGGACGCTGTCTTACGTGTTAAATCAATTTCACCACAGGCATTGATTTTTTGCGTTGGCACCGTGCGACTGCTCATTTTTATCACAACCAAACTGTTTTCAACTGAAATATTGAAAATATTCATGAAATTGTTGCAACTAAGTCAAATATTTGATGATTTTATGATAATAGTGATTTGGATGTTGTTGTTGTTGTTATTGCTGTTATTGTGCGTAATTGCGACGCACTATTTAAAGAGTTTTTTTTAACATTCTATCCGTGTTAATTGCAAATCACAAACAGATTTTCGCGTATTAATTTAACTGAGAATTGAACTTACAGTCTTTTATCAAGCTGCCAACACTGATTTTGCTTATAAAATGTAGAAAAAACTGAAAATTTTATTTTCCTCCTTCGTTTGTTTGTTTTCTTTTACTCCGTTCACTATTTTCTAGATATTATTTTAAATGTCAAAATACTGTCAGCATTTTGCTGTCAGTGCATATCGTTCTGTTCCCAGTTGGAAACTTGTTTCATTTCGTTTTTTCAATCAATGAAACAGTTTAACATAAAATTGACTGAATGAGAATGATATTTAATTGTATTTTGTGCGAAATTTGATTAGATTTTTTTGTAAAATTCAAAGAAGAAATACTCGGTTCGATTGTTGAATATTTTTAAGCAAATGAAACGCAATAAATCGATTTGTTCCGTTGAATTACGACGCGAAGAACGCACCCCAATTCGAAAAACATAAACAATGTGCGCGATTATTTTTTCTATATTAAAATAGTTGTCACTAAAAAAGTTTTCATTTTTCATCAATTTAATAATCATCGAAGAATTGAATCGTTCCATTTTAAATGTACGTTTTTTGAACTCAAATTGTAAGGCAAGTTGAATAAGACAGTGCAGTTTCATTGGCTGACAAATATATTAGTACATTTTGACGTTTACGGTTTAGCTGTCTCTGTCTTTGTTATTATTGCGTTCAGCTGATTCAATGCGTATTTTATAAAACCAAGTGAATAGTTTTGCTATGGTCAAGATCTTGCTTCGTCTCACGAAGGAAACTATTTGTCTTTTGAGAAATTCGCATAATTTTTATCCATTCCAAATGGCTTGGAGATCATCTGGAACCAATAATGCTGATTTAATGAATCAACTCGAAGGTAAAATATATTCGGAACAAAATATTTTTATGAAAAATCCATTTCCATTTCTAATGTTATTGGGTAGAACAAAGTTCATCGAACTTAAGTCAAGATTAGTATTATCGTCATATTTGTTTCTCAATATAGTGCAAAAAATATATATATAATGCGAAATGATATTATTTTCTTTGGTATTTATAGTGTTTGACGTGATTAAAACGCGAAAAGTGAAGGAATTAATGACAGAAACGGATCGAAAATACTATTGCCCAAAAACACCATACGTGGACGCACCACAGAGTATTGGCAATGGTGTAACCATAAGTGCACCGCATATGGTGAACACAGATTTATCTATTTTTTTCGTCTTAAATCTCTTCAAAAGCATTCATTGTGTAATGTTAATTGTGGACTTTTTACTTTTGTTGCAACGATTTTAGCACGCATACGCTTTGGAGTATCTGATTGAAAAGTTCAAATATGGTGGCAGAGCATTGGATGTAGGTTCGGGCTCAGGATACTTAACAGCTTGTTTGGCGAGAGCGAATCGAAAAGCAGTTGAAAGCAAGACGAACGGTAAAAAAATTGTCATTGGAATCGAGCATCAAGCACCATTAGTTGAGTTGTCGATTAAAAATATTAACGCTGACGATCCTACTTTTATCAAGAATGGCGAACTAATTATTGTCGGTTAGTTTTAGTCGGTTTAATGTCGATGGCGAATGTATTTATAATATGGTTCATTGCTTTATTTTAGAGGGCGATGGAAGAAATGGTTACGAGGAATTCGCACCGTATGACATTATTCATGTGGGTGCTGCGGCTCCAAAGACTCCTGAAAATCTGTTGAATCAATTGAAGAATGGAGGTCGGTTAATCACTTTTACATTATGGCGGAATTGCTATCCTTTCTATTTTAAATATTTGTCTATTATGTTCCATTGCCTGTTTATTAATTTCCGTTATATGATTCACACCCAGGTCGCTTAATAAGCCCCGTTGGACCACAGCCGGATGGATCACAATATTTGGAGATGGTTTGTTTATTAAAATGCCGATGGGAACTGCTCATATATTTCACTGTAATTAATTTTCTATTTTTTATCCGTATTTAATTTTGTAATTCCAGTATGATAAAAATGAGAGAGGCGAAGTGAGTCGTACACGGTTGATGTCCGTGGTTTATGTCCCGCTGACCGATTTGAATGGAACATCGCGATGACTTCAAAACTGTTGTACAATAGTCTGAGTAGATTTATTTTTTTTTGTTTAAAGACAAACTGATTTCGTTTATTTAATGACCATTTCGTTCAAAGACAAACAAATCTATTATTCTGTTACAACTTACAAACCGCTCTACTACCTAAGTTTCAATACTATTGTGTTCTTGCTCTCGAGAGATCTCTTTTCAGTTTTTAAAAGACATCAGACATTTGTACAATCCATCCCAGCTATCGAAAATGACTACTAATGCATTTGTAGTGTAGCTTAAACCACGGATCCTTTAGATTTCTGCTAGTTTTAGTACATATATGTTTTTTTAAACAAATCTGTTGTTTATGGCATTTTTGTTATTTTAAGATGAAATCCTGTACTTGTTTTCAATTAAACAAGAATTTATATTTATTTCCAATAAACTGAATGTTTTGCCGATTAAACTTGAAGTCTATCCTTTAACATATACGCAATTTTTTATGACTTCATTTGCATCAATATTTTGTCGTTGTTTATTTAAATGATGTTGCTTGTAAAAATTGATAAATAAATTTTTCGATTTTTGCCTTCGTTTCGACAAAACAACGTCAACAAATTGACAATCTCACGCTTAATTACTCATTTTACGTCACAATTTATGACAGTTTGTTGCCGTAATTACTGGTAAATGTCTCACTTTAGGTGTTAACTGGCATACCTCGGGCATAAGCCATGAAAAATTGCACGAATGCAAATGCAAAACGTTCATCAAAATGGCCACATCGAGATTACAAATGACTACAATTTAATGCAAGAGAATGTGCAAAAAAAAAGTGTTGTTTATTTTTAGCGAAAAATGCGAAACCATCTGCAGAGCAAAATAAAATGGAGTTAGTACACGAAAGAGCTCTTGCCGCCAAAACAGCCGTAAAAAACTTTAAAACTTTTTACGGCCGACCAATGTTTTGAGATAATGAGAATCGTCGGAAGTTTATTAATACTTGGTGTCGTTCTTTCTCTACTAGTTCGTTGCCGAACAAAAAGTTGCGAAATCGTCTAACACAGAGAGACAGTCCTTTTTGCGACAATTGAAGAGAAATTACCACCTTCACCACCATTCATGTGGTGCCGGGTAAAATAAAAAGTGTTGTTCTTTTTCTTGTTTTGCAAAAAGACACATCGAGTGAAGGAGACTTTTTTTTATTGGTAATTGCTTTTGTTAAATCATTGCAATAAAATCGAGTCATCAATTCGCTACAATGTAACGATTTTATGAGACGGTGCACTTTTTGATCGTCTTTTTATCGATGTGCAATCGTGCTGGCTTCTGATTGGTGAATTTTGAAATCGGCGGATTTTAAAAACAACAACGACAATGCAATTGCAGAATGATATTCGCAAGCTGGTTTTCATTTTCTGGTTGACTACATTTTTTGTCTGTTTGTTATTTTTTGGTTCTTGTTCATCGTCGAGAGAAAGCATGTAGTATGTATAAAAATGTGTATAATAATTTCCATCTAGAAACCGTAATCAAAATTGAAAAAGTTCATCGTCTGTTTTGTGTGTACAAATGTATCGTCAGTTTTCTGTTTTTTTTTCGCCAAGCAAAAAAAATTTAACGGATAACCACACACATACGCATTTGGGTGAATGAATTGTTGACGGGCTCGTTTTTATTAGCTGGCATCAGCGGTGTATAAAATTTAAATATTTCGGCTTCGATCAAATTCTACCATTTACACATTTATCAATGGCAACTGTTTACAAAAAAAAAGCCATCTGAATTTAATTATTGATTTTTAATCGTTGTTTTATGGATATTTTTCCTATTATATCGATAAATAATATTTCAATTTTTTGACATTTGCAATTTATGTTGGGAAGAATAAAAAAAGTGTCTCCCACTTTCTGCATACCTATCTCAACTTTATGAACTGTTGCCAGCCATTTAATTGGAATTTTGTCAACTGATTGGACACCGTTCACGATGAAAGACGATTGTTTTTTTTTACGAGAGTGTTCTTTAATTTATTATTTATTTTCGTTCATTTATTCATTCGTCCGGTGTTTATGAATTTAAAAGAAACCACTAAATTAGATAAGTTTCATATTTAAAATCATTTTGTGTGATATTTTACACAAACAAACACAGTTTGAGATAACACATTGAAAATGTGATGAGCGATCATGTTTTTATTAAAGCCATGCGCTACCGCAGCGCAGCAATAAATTTATTGATGAAAAGCATAACTTTGTTTAAAATGTCTCTATTTCTGAATTGATTTTTCTCGGTTGCGTCAAAATTGAACATTCTTTGAAAGCCACACGGATCAATATCGATCTTCTTCTTCTTCTTCTTCTTTTTCTTATTATTATTATTTCTTTTCATATAATGGTTGCAATAAAAAAGGCATTCGATATCAGAATGGAAAAAACGTTGAATCCATAAACTGATAATAAAATTCATGATTTATTTGGAATGGATTGAGTTGATCGGGTGCGCGCGCGCAAAGAGCATACACACATACAGACAAGTACCTTCTGGATTGTCTCAATTGAGCCAGTTGAAAAATGTGTCCGAGGAGAAAGAAACAAGCAAAGAAAAAGATTGAAGATAAAAGGAAAAAAAACACTAAATGAAAAAAGAGAGAAATATACGAGAAATATATAAAAAAAAGCAACAATCAAAAGAAGCAAGCCAAACAATATGTCGATGGATGTATCAATACCGATATCCAGCAGTTAATTAATGCAAATATCTCTATTTTCAAGGTCAAAGCAATCATCAGGCATTATTGATCAGTATGAATGCGTGTGGTGACCAGAATGAGTGTATGTGTTTGTGTGATGGCTTACGGGGTATTGAAGAGAAATGAGATACCATACAAATGATATCTTCATTTAATTTAACTTTTGAATGGCGTTTTTTGATAAATATCATCAAAAACCTACGCGCAGTTTTGTAGAAAAATTTGCGCACCGATGAATTGAAGAGTCAGCAAAAAACGAACAAAAAACACGAAGTAGAACCATGATAATGGCTAAAAATTCAAATGAGAAAGTGTGGTTTGCGTTAATTTTAAAATCATTTACGTTTATTTAATACTCACTGTTTTAATTTAGTTGGCGGTAGTTTTTAACAATGCCATCATAAAATAAAAGATGATTCGCTTCACGCGCAGACTAGACAAGTTTTACAAAGGAATTTCCGCATGTATCTCTCTCTCTCTGTGTCTGATGATGGAATGTAAGAGAGAATAATCTGATATGCTCATCGTCATTTGAGAATTCTGAAAATATATTCCAAATAACCGTTTCTTCTTTTATTCATTATTTCTTTTCTCATTTGCAAATTTATTATTATCACACAATATTACAGTAGTTAAAAAAAATTATGGCATCAAATCATGCGAGCTTGGCTTTGGCTCTTCTCATCATGTCGATGCGGTCGACGATTTCTTTTTTATGTTAACTTTTTCTCTGTTGTTGCGATTTTATTCAAATTACATGGTTTTATTGTTATTTTTCGAAGGCGCAATTGTTATGAAATGAAATTCAGTTCAGAGATGCAAAGAAGCCATCACAAAAGTTAGAATGAATACTAAACTCCCTTGTTGGATTTAATTTACGCACAACTTCATTGTAATTTGCATTATGAACTTCGTGTATCGAACAATAGAATGTATAAAGATCTCGCTTGGGTTTGGATCAACCGGCAACAGCAATAAAACGAAATGAACAACAAAAAAAGACACACATATACACAGCGTACGAAGAACAGGCAACAAACATGTCATCGCATTAATATGCCTCGGCACTAATGGAACCTTTCTGCGGGTGTTTTCACTCTTTGTGTTCGCGTCGCCGTGTGTCAGTCAGTTCTGGGAGAATGATTTTAATATTTTTCTAAAAGATGTGCAGAGCCAGCGAGCGAGAGAGAGAGAGAGATAGAAATGGTTTTAGCCTGTAGTTGCATGCATAGCGCATTTGAATCATGCGATCATCGTTTTGTCTTTACAACCGCAAATCAAGGAAATCAGTAAACATGTACCGGATTCTTCGATTGTGTCACCTTTTTTGTGTTGATGTTATTGCTTAGCTCGTTTTGTCGCGCGAAACCAACAAGAGATATTTGAGCAAGCAACATTCCCCAGTTTATTGGCTTTCGCAAACAATACGAGCTCAGTACATTTGATGCGGTGAAACTCTTCTTTTTCTTCTCCTTTTTTTAATGTCAATCAAAGTTATTCGAAATGCAATAGAATTTTGCAACAAAATGATGGAAAATTTGGCGTTGTGATCAAACGAACGACAACAAACCGAAAAATTAAAATTACATCGATTCTCTCACGAAATCGCATCTCAAAAACGTTGGTCCTTTAGTTGGTGCAAAGAATACAGAAGGACAAAAACATCCAAAAGCCAGATTCAATTGAAATTCTTCGGTCGCTTAAACAACGAATACTTCGTTGTCCAAGTTACGTAATATAAAAAGGTTACCTTTTTGCCCTTTCTCATCTCGATCGAAAAAAAATTCCCACTCAGCTTCGAACCCAAAAAAAAACCACGATGACGACAACAACAAACGTACAGCAGCACGCATTTTGACCAATTTTAAACGCAAAATTTACAGAACGCGTACGCGGAATGCATGTTGGTATAAATAAAACTTACCGAAAAATCGAAAGATCGCATCAAAATTCGTTGCTGATTTTATATGTTACTTGCTACGAAGCGCATTTGAGACAAAAATTGAAATGCATTTTCAGCAGCATACTCTCTCGCTACGTCTCCAAATTCGCAGTCTCGCGTAAGCAGTGAGTGCACGGCAACAGCATATCAAACATTTTAAATTACGGAACAAAAGACTCAGAATACAAAACAAGATGACGAGAGACAGAAGAAGTGGGAGAAAGAGACAGAAGAAACATACTCGCACTGCACTGAAAAGTATATGCACAAAAAAGGAAGATGAAACGACAAATGCATTATGAAAACAGAGCACACAAACAATCACATTGTTGAACTACCTAAAGACAAATGAACGGTGATAAAATGCGTATATTGAGTCCAAAAACTCATGCATCATCACGATCAACGCGCTACTACCGTCATCAAGTCTTCTAGTCGTCTATCCTTTCGTCATCTATCACATTTGCTTCGCTAGTGTGGTGCAATTCTTTTTTGTTGGCATCTTCTTTGACATAATGTTGTCATTTTTGTAAATATGAAGTGCTTCTTTTTTGGTGGAGTTGAAATCATATAATAATTTTTCATCAATTGGTTCGTCATTGAATTCATTCAATGAAATCACAAAAAAAGGTGTCGTTTACCCACCCTAATATGCTTAGCATATAATTAAATTTGGATTCACATGCATAAAATGTTCGTTACTTCTCATCGGAATTGCTGCAATGATCAGTTCAGCTCTTTCGAATATCTGCACAAATTAAAAAAAAGAATAACGCTACGCAATCGAATCGACGTGAGTAAATGAAAAGAAGATAAAAAAAATGCGCGAATAAAATACAACGCTTCAACATGATGTGCACTTGGAGTATGTTGTCGCCATTTAATGTTAAATACGTTATATTATTTATTATATTCAAAAGCAGCAAAGCAGCGACAAAATAAAAATAAAACTAAAGTAAAAATGAAAAGAGAGACAGACGAAACGGGGCAAGAATATGTGAAACGCTGAAATGTGCGCGAAAAAAGGAGCGATTTCTGTTTTCGTTTAACGCAATTTTTTTCTTCTGTTTTCTTATGAATTGTGCAGTACGTAAAAGGAATATGTAGTCTTTCAAACAGAGACATGTCATGTCAGTGGCAGGCAACAAAAAAATATGTTGAAAAAATCATGTCATTTTTGAGGTGTTTAACAATGAGAATGAATGGTGAATGGTTGAGTTTATCTATGGGCCAACAGTTGGCGAAAAAGATAATAATTTCGACTATCAGCTGATTAGGTCTTGTGCATATTTAAAGAGTTCGCTACCAACGACAGCAGTAGCAATAACAATACACTGATACGAGTTCGGATACAGTGTGCTTTGAAGTCAAAGTATGCTAGGACAATGAAACCTGTTGAAAAAAAAAGAAGAACAACAGCATCATCATAAGAACGAAGCATCATTGAACGGTGCGAAAGCAATCCAAACACACAGCACCACAAATCACAGAACTGAACGAAACCTGATTGAAACGTAATAAAAACGTATTTGCATAGATGTGTATGAGTCATTGGGCTCTGGATGTGTCGCTGAGGCGCAATGAGTGAGCGAACGAGAACGAGCGACAAGAGCGAGAGCAAAGCAGAGCAAAAGCAGCGTTAGATGTGCACACAATGTGTGTCGTAGTGCACACAACAAACATTTATGCAAAGCACCTCAACTCTCATCGACTCCTTCTCTAAAAAAATACACGTTTTATGATATTTATGAGTTCAACAATCCCTATTCGCCGTTCGTTGTGTTGTGTGTATGCCTTTTTTTTCGTGTGTATCTCTTCGTTCTACGGATCATTTACCGAAAATCCACACACACACACACACACACACACACACACACACACACACACAACTTATGCTCGGATTCTCTGTTGCATTTTAAACGGTGAAACACTCTCTCACACACAAATACACTCATACATTCGCACAGCATATATTTGCGGAAGGTTCTCCAAACGCGCAAAGACACATTGATCGAAGAAAGATACGAAAAGAAAGGAAAATAATGACAACAACAGAAATTAACAGATTTTTTTTCGCTCTGCTCTTGTGTGTGATCCGCCACATATTTTTTTTATATATTTTCATTTGGCGGCGGCGTCGGCGAAACAGCCAAGAAATTATACACATTTTATGAACTCACACAGAAACTGTTCACTCTTGCTAAGCACATAAGCATCCCGAGCACACATATATGTACAATCATCATTCGCCAAATACAGAAGTTGGTGTGTATGCAATGGGAAAGAAAATGGAACGATAGACTTCAATAGGTCGTTGATTGCTCATCGCTATCATTTGAAGATTCTCAAACTGATTGCACCAAATTTTTTTAATCGCACGCCATCCACCGTATCAACGAAAGAGAAAGAGTGGAGAAAAAAAAATCAAGGAATGGAACTTGCTGTACGCAGACTGGTCAAAAAAGCACTACTTCTGGTGATACACCCTGAGTTTTTCAGCGTTAAGTTGAGAGAATGTGATTGAATGCTGATATTAAATTACGAGCGACGAACTCATATTTTGACAGAATGCCAATCTTTCTTGCTCCATTCCACGATGGCGTTACATCAAACAAGCAATACGATTGATAGGTTGATGATGAGAGATTTTTTTTTTTGTTTTCCGTTCATTTTGTATGTGTGTCGGTCTTTCGTTTTTTTTTCAGTTGATTTCGATATCTCGACGTATTTCTGCGGCAAAAGCGTAAATTTTAGAGAACACAATCCAATAATGATATATTGATCGTTAATCAAATACATTTTTTTCCCTCGTTGTTTAATTTTATGCAAATTTTTCAGTTGGAAAAAGGCAACAATAATGTGCAGTTTCATAATGTTATTGAATTTTGCACAAATGTGCGCTCAAGTGCGATTGTACTCCGATGCTTAATGTTAAAATTATATGCTTTTTCGGAATATATTTAGTCGTTTGAATAGGAAAATTCATCAAAAGAGTGCGAAACAGACAGAAAGGGGAAAAGGGAGAGAGAGTGTATGAGCGAGAAAAAAGTAGAGAGCGGGGGAGAGTGAGAGAGAAACAACGGAAAAAAGGCATTACTCTCGGGGAACAGCACCGAACGACGTATGAACAAGTGATTGATGTCTTGATAAGGCGTTTTTTCTTTCTATATGTGATATGTGGAAGAGAGAGTGTGCAGCTCAATGGTCAGTAGTCATATTACGCGAATTTATTAATAGGTTCTGGTGAATCTTCATAAAAATGATCATGATGCAAGCCTTGTTGCCAACAGTAAATTGAAGACAACGCATTGATTGTGTTGATGCTAAATGACGACATTTACATACATACCAGAGAGCAAGAGCAAAACCACCAACCATCCACATATTAATCTATATATTCATGCCCGCGTGTGTTTTGTAGTTTTTTTTTGTGCTGCTATTGCTGCTTGTCGTCTCCTCTCATTTGCTTCAAATTTTGTATTAAAAACGAACGGAAAATGGAGAAGAAGCAACGGCAGCAGCCGTATGATTATATGGATATAGCAATATTACGTTTATGCCGAAGTGCTTTTTCATCTGCAGCAGCAGCAACCGCAGCAGCAACAACAACAGTGAGCATGGCCTGAGAGCCAAGCGTCGACCGAGCAACGATTCCGTTTGCTCTGTGTGCCACACTACATAACACATGCCTTTTTCTTATATGTATATTATACGCTTTTTATATTAGTAATCATAATCAACGTTCGATGTGTCGTTCTCTTTCTCCCTCTCCCTCCATCTTTCTCAATCTTTCACTTCTCGCTCTCTGTCGTCGTCTCTTGCCGCTCTCATTCTCATTCTATATCGCGTTCGCTCTCTTTCTCTTTCAATTCGTTGCTTTGCTTCTCTTTGAAGTTTCGTTCAGGTTCCTTCTTGTCTTTTCATTTTACCTCTCCTTATGTTTCGTTTTCGTTCAATTCAACGCAATTTTAACTACTTTAAAGTCACCAGAAAAAGCACAAGCAGTCAGTTATATGCAGTTGTCGAAGTGAAACGGTTCATTCGAAACACATACTTTTAATTTGGTGTGCGCGCAAAGAGACAATTTCTTTGTATTCTATTTCGATCGACGATCTATTTTTTATAGTCAGTTTTTTTTTGTTCGTTGCAATTTTTCTTATTTTTCATATAACCCCGTGTTGCAAGCAATAAATGTAATTTTTCTATTAATTCTGTTCGTTAACCGTTAAGTTTTGAAGAAAGTTTTAAAAATTTTCTTGTTTTTTTTATTATTAAAAAAATAAATAAATCGAAGGATGTCGTTGGGTCAGAAAAGGAAATCGTTATAACAAAAAAAAATCAAGTCCATTGCACAAAGGAGAAATTAAACTCGAGCAAGTTGAAAAGTGCTTACCAAATTGATTGGATCAAGTTAAAGCGCATTCACGACAGAATAAATTTGCACATTGGTCGCTTTGCAACTGTCGCTTAAGTATTGAATTACCAAAGACGACAAAACAGCAGCAACGACAGCGGGAAAAAAATGCGAACGCAAAGAAAATGTAAAAAAGGCATAAACTCCTCCTTTGACATCCAGGCAAGAAAGAAAAAACGCACAATGAAGTGTGGGAAAATTTCTTGAAGTGAATTTTATGTGCAACGATTGCTTTGATTGAATTGAGCTGTGAAAGGACAAAAATCTAAAGCCACAACTACGTTGATCACTTCAGCTCTTTATTTTTTTTTGTGCACATGCAAAATCATGAACGGTTGTCGAGGCGACAGTGTCAATTTTCAGCCGAAGAGAATTCCATTGCCATCTGCATTGTTGGTTTTTCTCATTATTTCTGTTTGCTAATTATGATTATCAATTTTATAGCCTCCGACCGTAACGATTCTTCGCATTTATTGCGAATTTTTTTCGGTGCGAAAATTGTGTCAATTCAATATATTTATTGAAGTTAATTCATTAAGTGAAACAGGTAAATGACAAACTGTTTTGATCGCATGTGGTAAAGTACATGCCGTATCGTATGCAAAACACACCCGTTGCGAATTTAAAATACACACAAAACACATCACTTTGTCTCGCTTTATCGCTCGCTGTATATGTGCCATTTTTTTTCATGTTTTACGCTGGTCGATTGGCATTTTTTTTTATTGTGCACATGCGTTTCTTTCTTTCCATTTCGATTGAAAAAGTCATTTCATTCCGTTCACCATCATATGCAAATTATGAGGTAATGGTTTGCTCCATATTTGGAACGATCGAAACATAAATGGCTTGCCACTATAATCATCATCATCATCATTCCATCTGGGTGCATTAATATAAAATCATCACACGACCCATTCTAAAGTGCCACTTAAACGAAGAATAGAGTGTGTGGTATGTGTCTTTTGAGTTTGTTCCCTTGTCCATTTCTCTCTCTCTCTCTCTCGTATTTTTACTGTTTCGATTCAATTGATAATAATTGTTGCGCCTGTTGAAAATGTTCGAACTGATATGCAAGTCAACCGTATCACATGTTTCTGTTGGTGTGACAACGTAAAATTGACGGCTGACCCGCTCCTGCGCTAGAAACCACAATGTTCTTTTTTCTTCTTCTTTTTGCTTTTTCAATAATTTTAAACGTTTTATCATGTTCTTTTTCCTTCGCATTTTGCGTCTTAGTGTTTTCTTCTACGTTTTTTTCATTTGTGAACGGTGTGTGTGTATGTGCGCGCGCTAGTATGCTCGCCTTTTTAAATATCAAGAACATGCAATAAGAATCACATTTTACATCGTAAATGTACAACGACTCTTTTCGATTAATGGCTTTTCAATTTGCCACGCATTTTCAAGCAAAAGAAAGAAAGAAAGAAAGAGAGAGAGAGAGAGAGAGAGAGAGAGAGAGAGAGGTCGATCGAGAGACAGGCACCGTTTTCAATAGAAAATGTACATTATCGAAAGCTATCTTTTGCATTGCATTCATCGAACGAAAGAGCACATATGTGCATATGTATGTGTTATTCAACACCAGAATATGATTTCGATGTACTGCAATTTGCCTTAATTTGATTCTACCTCATCAGGCTCAACGGTGCATCGGTCTCTGTATAATTGTTTTGTATTCAATTTAGTTTGAAACATGCCAAACGGAGAAAGACAACAAGAGAGAAGGAGACAACAAAATTGTTCAAAATACAAACCCAAGCTCATACATCATTATTATTAACGATCACTTGTGGCAATGATCGAAAATAAAATTGCGTTAGATTGGCTCTCATTGACTCGCCTAAATAAATAGAATAAAACAATTTTCTAATAATGATCTCTTTCGACGAAAAAAAAACCCAGAAAGAGAGAACAAAATCCGAAGGAAACAAGTTTTCAACCTCAACAAAGAACGCATTGAGTTAAAATTCAAGTTGGCAACAAATTGTAAAATACTATATATTCGATTTTCAGAACGGGAGGGGTTGGTGAAGTATTCCAGACAATCATTTAGCCCAACGGCAAATCCAATCGATTTATTGAAGACGCAAATCGTGAATTAACAACTGATTCAACTGCCAATACTAAGAATATATCTTCATCTAATTTCTAGGCACTTGAATGCAAGTTTGCCGCAACAGACGATCATGTGAATGAAATTCAATCAAATTGGTGTTAAAGAAAAATCAATGAATGAACCGAACCGGTCGAAATTGCCGTTTGAATATTGTTTTCCTGTCGTTAATGAAGTTCGTAATTAGTGTGTAGTGAGGTGTATATTTGTGTTTGTGTGTGTGCTGCAAGTGCGAAATTCCGATGAACCAGAGAACGTGTTCGGCATCAAACATAATGATTTAACAACTTAACTGAGATCGATGTTTTTAACGTTTTGCTAAATTATAAGGTTGTTTCAAGAATCGAAGTGTGGTGCATTTTAAAATAAAAAAACGTAGAGAAAAGAACATACACGTACAAAGCAAAATCAGCATCGATCTATCAATCCCACATAGTATATCTCTTTTTTCATTCTTGTCGTGATATTGTATTGATTGAAATCACGCGTCGATTAGTTTGTTGAAACATCCAAGCCAGGAGATAGTTTTGCAATTTTGTTTACACATCGAGATAGATTTAAACGAAAATTGAAAAGAAATATATACATACATAACACAAAGAAAAGCGAAAATGCAAAAAATCCACACAATTTCATCGCCACCAGTTATGAGTACAAGCAATACATCAACAACAAGTGATCTGATAGCATCAGTTGTAGCCGGACATAAGATCAATAATAAAAATCATAATAATTCAAATAAGAAAATTAACAGCAATATCGGTGTGTCAAATAATAACAATATCAATAGTAACAACAATAATAATAACGATCATCAATCGACCAACATAAATGAGAATGGTACGCCATTGAAAATAGTAAAGCCGACACCAGCCAAACCGAATGGAAAAAATGGTAATTTTTTACGAAAAAATAAATTTAATGATTTGAAAAAGGACATTATAAAAAAAAAAAAATCCAGTTTGAAAGTAAAAAAAAATCATGCGAAAGTAAACGGTAGTTTGATTGCATCAAATTTATTGGGGTCAAAAGATTACCAACTATCGAAAAGAAGAAGAAACTTTCACGCATTAATATTGTTCGTATTGCCAAAGAGAAAGAGTGGTCTTTTACAAATCATATTTCGATTTTTATTTTTTGCATTCACTGAATTCTCATTTTGTTTTTCGTTCTTCTCTTCTTTCTTTTCCGACATGCGTTTGGACATCATTGGTAAAAACATCAATAAACAAAAGCATTAGCTGCCACAACATCGACACCGTCAACAAAACCAAACGTAAGCAATATCAACAATAACAGCAACAGCAAAAGCAACGCACCAGCCAATGATTCAACGTCTACCGCGGTCAATTCGAAGAATCTAAATAATAAAATCAGTAAAAATACTAGTAGTAATAACATACTGATGGGTGCTGATATTGTTAATCTAGCCAATGTTCTGTCCACGCAAACTGCTGCAATTGCACCCGATGCACAGGCGAAACAAGTGTTAAAAGAAGCCGTCGATGCGGTTGTAAATAGTTTCGCTAAACACACTCAAGGCTATGGTCGTGGTAAGTTTCGATTCATCTTCTATTCTTTCAGCATTGTTGGTGTTGTAGTCGACTCTTTTTTTTCGTTCACTGTTGTGTCGCTGTTCTATCTCTCTCTCTCTCTCTCTATCTCTCTCTATCTCTATATTTATGTATTTCTCTCCGTGCAATCTGCATTTTGTTTGTTTTTATTTTGTTTCGTGTTTTATTTTTTTCGTTCGGTGTTGCCGAGTATGCGATAGAGCACCAATCGCTTTTAATTACAATTCCATAAAATTCAAAGGCTTCAGACGAGTTCTGATCGACACGATACAACAAATATGACGACGGCGACAATAACAACAAATCGATCAAAGTCATCAATCTATTGTGAAAGGTGAATGTATAGAAACGAAAAAAATGCAATCCAGTTGACAAGTTATTAGCCATTTTCTCTCCCTCTCTTTCGCTCTCTCTCTCTGTCTTCAACTTAGTATGCACATGAGATACGGGATTATGTGCACCAATGAATTTGGATCATGTGATCGTATCTCAAGTTTTGTCTCATTTAAATTAATTTTCGATTAGTTGTCTCTCAGCACCGCAACAACTAATTACACAAATTAAAATAATATTTTATTAATGGTTCAATGATATTGAAATTTAAAATTGTCATTCGATGTCGCCAAGTGATCCCTAAGTCAACATCATAAATCGAAATGATTGCGAGCACGGTGACACAATAAATTCAGTGCATGCAACTTAGATATCGCTTCAAACCTAGCAACAGGCATCTGCTATGTGCGGCAACTATCAAGCTCGCACGTAAATGGACAAATAATAACAATAACGCAAACGCATTAAAATAAATTTCATTTTGCTGATACAGGTATCAGAATGAGAAGAAAAAGAAGAAGAAGAAGATGACAATCCAAAACGAAGGAGACGTTGAAAGAAACCTCTCTCTCTACATAATTACACTTAATGTTCAAATATTTACATATGCGAGTACGCATATCCATGCAGCAGCAACAACAACAAAAACACCATCAACGTGCTGCTGTGTCAAGCAGTTATTAGAATTACGTTTAATATTAAAATGAAAAGAAACGAACACACGAAAAAAAAGAGATACGATGCGCGTATGTATTCGTAATTGATATATGTTATGGATGCTTTCAAGTGATGCCGAGTGCATAATTTATGTCAATTATATCGCATTTTATGCCATTGACCGATCTCACCAACTGCCCCGAACTCAATGCATATATATATCGAATATGCAGCGTTTACAACTCTTTCTCTCGCTTCATCTCACTCTCTCACAGAATTAATATATCGCTGTTTGATATTCTAATTACTTAATGTCATTATAATTTACAGTTAGATGTAATGTCCATCATAAGAAATGCAATTTAAAACGTCTGCTCTTTAAACGAATTGATTGCCAATGGGACTGCAAGATTGAAATGAAATTTTCGCTTATATGTCACATAACCTGCATGTTCAATGAAACCATTTGAACTGTTCAATGAATATCATCAACAGAGTTATTTTTTTTTTCAATTTATTTCACACTTATCAATTCACAAGAAAATCAAGGTGGAAAAATGTCAATATTCGAGTGATTTCTTTTCATTCGTCAATTTTCTCACGACGAACATCAAAGAATCTTACATCTATGTTTTCCTCACTTTGATGATCAAAAATGCATTTTCTATACGGAACATATAGGCTTTGGGAATAGTATTAGAAGATTTGATCGGGCCTGTGAGCTCTGCTTTGATCAATAATACGCATTTCTTATTCTTCGTCATTCCGAACTTGAAAAACTGTTTTTTGTGGTTTTCTATAATCAATGGAAATTGAATTTTTGAGCAAGGTGATTACAAACTCTGACGCATGCAAAAAAAAAAAAATAAAAAAAATCACTACAACTTTCATTCGGTTGGATGGAAAATTAAGCTATAGCACAACGGAAATGACAACAATTAATATATTGTGTGATGTTTTGAAGCGATTCATGCTGAATCGTTGTCATAGCTATGGTGATGCGGTGTGCATCGACACCTTCAATATTCGCGACGATAATAATTGCACGACATGCTCATTACATGCATTCATATTTGAAAAATGGTAATGTGTTAAACGTCGCAATGGTCATTTTAAGATTAAATTTTTTTCCGCTTCATAATCATAAATTCACGATTGGAAGCCACACACAGGCAGAGGTGCGACAAAGCGCATAACAACAAACAAATATTCGCTTAATCACTTGTGCATCTCTTTTTCTTGTTGTTTTTTATAACAACGTCGTCGTCCGACATCGATGCAAAAAGCGACCAACCAACAAACAAATCAGCACAAGGAAACATAAGTGATACACACACAGACCCATTGACCACAAGGAAGAAATAGAAGGAAGATGAAAGTTTTCTCTCTGCGTCTACCTCTGTTTATATAACAAATCAGGGGATTTTATTAAATAATTAAATTGTTCGCCGTTTTCATGTTCCATACAATCTCATTAAAGTTTGCATTTTTATTGTTGCTCAGTACGACACACACACACATATATACACACAGTGAGTGACAGATCAACTTGGGTGCAATTATATTTCGCTTGGTTGAGCAAGTTGCGCGCATTTAAACATCATAAATGCAACTCTTTTACGAAGCGCTCTATAGATATTCTGGTCAATAAATATGTTGACGTGTAATATGAAGTTTATCAACCGCTAAAGATGGTAATATAGATATGGTGATGTTTTTTTTTGCTTCGTCTTTGTTTCGCATAATCGACAATTTCCATAAGCCACACAAATGTTAAAACATTAACTCTTCATTATTAACAAATAGTTCTTCTGAACATTGTTCGCTCTTATCCATATCACAGTCACTAATGAAACGATAATGAATGTATTATATTCTGAAGATTTGGTCCTGCACTCCGTATGCACTCAAACAAATTCAACAAATGGCTTGAGTTCGAAAATTCATCAGAAAAACAAACAAGTTTTTTATTATTTTATTTTCAACAAAATGTAAAACAAATTGAAGAAACCGAATCGAATGTTTGCGCTTCACATTTCAAAGCACAGATAATATCATGCGCATTGCTGTCGAAGTGCAACCAAAACAGATTTATTCAACACGTGTAATTCCCTAAATCAATAGAGAAAGTCGAAGTAAACAGCCGGCAATACTAAACTATGCTCATATTTAAACAAAGAGAACATAAGAAAAATATAATCAAGGATAGAGAATGTGGTTTTTATGCGTTTTCCTGGATTTACCAGGTATCCAAATCCGAAAAATTGTTTCTTTTTTTATTGGTTTTTTTTTTTCACATAAAATACTATAAAGTTTTGTCTCTTCTTGCGCAGCATCGTCGTCGTTGTTCAAAAGAACAAATCATTATGGTTTTTTATTATCACGACAAGTATATAATTGTTTGGATAAATATTTGATTAGTTTTGTTGAGACGAGTGCTGTGTGTCGATGTACTACGGCTATGTCTCTTTAATCCAGTTGTACAAATACAATCGATACTCGACAAATGTACGCACCAAGAAGATATTCCCCCACTTTTTTCGTTCGAAAATGATCATCATCCGAAGACTTGTTTGATTATCGTATTTTATTGAAATAGGCTAGAAAATGGAATTCACGACAAGAAAGAGAGAAAAAATATAGAAAAATAGAAAACAAATGTGTGAAACGAATTGCATCCGAAAGAAGAATGTTTCGCATGTTCACTGCAAGTGTGGTCTTTTTTCGCCACTCATCAAATACACTCACTTGTGTGCATTAGATTGTATTGCTTGTACGCCTGTATCATGTAGGAAAAAAAACATCACTTATTAAAATGGTTTGAAATTTATGAGCTACGAAATTGAAATATGGCGATAAATCAAGACACAACAAAAAATTATTTGTACATTTGAAATTTTTTGGCCTTAATAACCTTTTCATCTTTCTATTGCCAATTTTCTGGTCACGATCATGCACATATACACGCGATGAGAAATAAAAAATCGTTCCCCTTCTCAGATTCAATGCAAATTTGTGAGCTGCTTGTGAAGTTGACATTTCAACGGCTTTTTTTTTTCTTTCATTAAAATGTTTAAAACAAAATATGAATGTAATGTTTATCGCAAGTGTATGGAAAATGAATTTGAAAGCTTAGAGAAAATTCACCGATTAATTACGTAATTGAGGGGAAAAAAATCGTGTAACGTTAGACTGAATTTTGTGCACTTTGCAAACGAATGAACCGGCTTAAATGCCAACAACTGGTTAATTATTACGTAAAATTAAATGAAAAGCTGAGCATTGCAGTTTCCTTCTTGTTTGAATGTTTTTTTTTTTTGAATCTAATTAAAAACGTCGCTGCGCTAATTGCTTGTTAATGGAGAGTACATTAAATGCTGCCACATAAATTAGGTGGCTTTAATTTCGATTAGCTGAAATGTCGTGAAAGTAAACGTTTGGCCATTTCCTACATCTATTCAAATAAATATTGAACGAGCCTAATTTCATGCTACAAAGTATGCATGATTTTGATCAATTTTAAGTCACCATTCGTTGTCACACACATCGTAAATGTGTACAGCATACAATTTGTGCATCACCGGAGGTGATATGTGTGTATGTATGTATGACTGTTTTATTGTCGAAGTGATGATGGGTCGTCGAAAGCCTCTGAGAGACAACCGCGAAACGAAAACAGTGTAAACAAAGGCACTTTTGCCAGACTATTGTGCGCACACATAATATAATTGCTGTCGTCGCAGTCTCATTGCCTGTTTTGTCGTTAAAACTTTTATGTGTTACGTTATGCATGAATGTGTGAAAGCGCCCAACTAGTCTAAAAACAGTTTGGTGTGTGTTTTATTTTGTATATTTCAGTTCCTCGTATTTCGTGTACATTTTTACCTTTTGGCTGGGATACTTTTTCTTCATCTCTCTCTCTCTCTCTTCCTCCCTCTCACCATATAATTCTTATTTTTTTCGTTCATTTGTTCGTTCATTTCATTTCG